GTCCCTCTACTTACCAGTGTAGAAAGTTTATGCAAAGGCCTCTCCATCCTAGATGAACTTCACCCCCAAATGAGTTACAAATATCAGTGAAGGTTTGTTTAGGGTTTTTTTGTTTGGTTGGTTGCCTTTTTGCTTCTCACTTGTCTGCAGCCCCTGTCTGATTTTTCTCTGGGTCAGTGGCCCTCAACCCCAAAAAGGTTCACACCAAGTAGACTAGAGTATTTATGAATAAGACAGTCTTCATGAAAGCAAGATTCTTTATTTCTCTGAAAATATTAGTTGCATACATGGCAATATAAAGATTATTTTCTTTATATTTCTAATACCCCCATATATTTAACAGATGTGGTTAAGTCAGATTACATCAGAGATATCACCATTCAATCACTTAGGGACGGGGTGCACAGTCTGCACACGTATGTCAAAATAAAGATATGCAATTTGAGCTACACATATTGCATTTCTTATTTCAATTTAATTTTGAACTAAAGTGCTATTCCAAAACTTCCTTTTACCCTCATGGAATGAGGATTACAGGGATGCTGGAATTGAGTGCCTGTTATATCTTCAACAAGCATTCTGTAAACTGCGATACCCACACAAGGAACTGAGGAGACAGATTGACAGAGCCAGACGTGTACCCAGAAGCCTCCTGCTACAGGACAAGCCCAAGAAAGAAACCAACAGAACACCACTGGCCATCACCTACAGTCCCCAGCTAAAACCTCTCCAACGCATCATTAGTGATCTACAACCCATCCTGGACAATGATCCCTCGCTTTCACAGGCCTTGGGAGGTAGGCCGGTCCTTGCCCACAGACAACCCACCAACCTGAAGCATATTCTCACCAGCAACTACACACCGCACCATAATAACTCGAACTCAGGAACCAATCCTTGCAACAAACCTCGGTGCCAACTCTGCCCACATATATACACCAGCAACACCATCACAGGACCTAACCAGATCAGCCATACTGTCACTGGTACATTCTCCTGCACATCCACCAACGTAATATATGCCATCATGTGCCAACAATGCCCCACTGCTATATACATCGGCCAAACAGGACAGTCCCTACGTAAAAGAATCAATGGACACAAATCTGATATTAGGAATGGCAACATACAAAAACCTGTAGGGGAACACTTCAATCTTCCTGGACACACAATTGCAGATCTAAAGGTAGCCATCCTGCAGCAAAAAAACTTCAGGACCAGACTTCAAAGAGAAACTGCTGAGCTACAGTTCATATTCAAGTTTGACACAATCAACTCTGGATTAAACAAAGACTGTGAATGGCTTGCTAACTACAAAAGCAGCTTCTGCTCTCTTGGAATTCACACCTCCAGATCAGCTGCTAGAAGTGGGCCTCATCCTCCTTGATTGGATCCACCTCCTCATATCCAGCCTGATCCTGGCCTGCATATTTATACCTGCCTCTGGAAATTTCCACTACATGCATCTGACAAAGTGGGTCTTTGCCCACGAAAACTTATGCTCCTACACTTCAGTTAGTCTATAAGGTGCCACAGGACTCCTCGCCGCTTTTGCAGATTCAGACTAACACGGCTACCCCTCTGATACTTGTTATTTCTAAATCTATTTTGAAATAACAGGCATGTTTAAAGAGCGGAATAGCTATTTGAGGATACTTCCGGTATCCCAAAATATTGCCACTGTCTCAACGTAGCCTTATATAGGTACTTTCTTTTTGTCATTTTAGTAAAGTTACCTTCTACTTCCTTTGGTAAATGCCAAAATAGTTCAGGTGTTCTGTATTTAGAGTAAATTATAATAAATAAGATAATAGGAAAAAAACATGAGCGAGTAACACATTATATCATTATCAGTAGGCAGCTAGGTTTTTAGTGACTGGGCTATGGGCCACCAATTTAGAGTTCTAATTAAAACAGGCTTATGCCTCATGTAAGTTTGAAAGTTATTCATGTAATGTAAATTGAATGGGAAAGAAAACTACACTGGTACTGTAAAATCTTGAGTATAATGCGCACCTATGTATAGTGCACATCCTGAAAAACCCGAACTCCTATGTATAATGCGCACCCATTATACAGGAGAATGGGAGGGAAGGAAAGGGAAGGAAACCTGCCCACTGCCCAGCTGTCCACCCACTGAGCTCGTGCATGCAGGAGGGGGGGGCCTCCCCCGCCCAGCTGCTGGCATGCCAAGCTCACGCCTGCCACGGGTGCCTCCCCTGGCCAGCTGCCGGTGCGCCGAGCTCGGGCCTGCTGGGGGGGGGCGGGGGAGGGCCCTTCCCACTCAGGTCTTTGCCTGCCCCGCCTCTGCCCAGTTCATGCCTGTCAAGGGTGAGTTTAAAACTTTTTTAAAAAACCTCCTATAGATAATCCTGTCTTTAATGCTATAAAAAAAAACCACAGGAAAAAAGTGTATATTATACTTGAGATTTTACAGTATTTGTTGCGTGAAAATATTTTTTATCTTTTCTGTGTGTTGACTACATCTAGAAAAATGCTTTGACATATATGTCTGAAATGACACAAGCAATGCTGAGAAAAATAGGAGACTCTGGATCAAACAAGTTAATTGCAATGATTCACAATGATTAAAACAAAAACAGACCACATGACAGCTCTGTGTTATATGAGGTCTTGCTAACCTTGGCAACTTTAAAGGATAAACTTTACATATGTTTGCAATATAGGTGAACAATTTCTCTAGAGTTTTAGGTACTATGTATTAGATTCTCTAGTGAATTATGTCAGGGATGGCCAACCTAAACCTGAGAAGGAGCCAGAATTTACCAATGTACATTGCCAAAGAGCAACAGTTACATCCAGCCCACTGGCAGCCCCACTGGTCAGTGCCTCCTTCTCCTTTTCCTCTTCCTCCTGCCACTATGATCAGCTCTTTCTCAGTGGGCGACACCGGAGGGGGGAAGCATGGGTATGACAGGCTCAGTGGAGAGGGTAGGAAGTGGCAGGATCCTAAGGGGAAAGGGTGAAGGGGGACAGCACCTAGGGCAGAGCTGAGGATTGAACAGTGAGCACCCTCTGGCCCAGTGGAAAGGTGGCACCTGTAGCTCCAGCCCTGGATTTGGAACCTATGCAATCAGCCACATATTAAATTCTGAAGAGCTGCATGTGGCTCTGGAGCCACAGGTTGGCCACCCCTGAATTAAGTACTAATAGGTTTTTGCTGAACATTGGACATGAAATCATTTCTGTTAAAGTTCTTAGTTCTTGAACAAACATTTAATTGTTCAAATTTCTATTACAAGCCTTTTTGTTTGTTTTATGTTTGAAAAGATTTTATTAAATTCTATTCAAGGGAATTACAAGGAAATAGAATGCTATATATTTTTTTTTCAAGTGTTCCATACAACTGAATGGGGGAGTGGAGGAGGAGCACTAAGACATGGAAAAATAAAAGTCAGAAGCCATTTAAAAGAACACATTAAACATACTTTATATTTCAGATGGGGAATTCTCAAACATGCACTTGTGTAAGGAAAATACTTCCTCCTATACATGTTTAAGTTCCCGTTACATCTTATTTTCCATGAAAAATGATTAATGCTCAGATTTTTTTGAAAATTAGGTTAAGATCTATTGTAATTAAGTGTTTTCATAATAGAATGGAAGGGTAAGATCAATTTACTTCAATAATGTGTATGGGCATGCCTACACTACAGAGAAGATTGACCCTCCAGAGGTCTAAGGTTCAATTTAGTGGGTCTAGTGTAGATTCCCCCATTGAATGCTGAGCCAGCATCTTATACTCCTCATTCTTTGAGGAGTAAGGAAAGCCACCAGGAGTGTGTACTCCCCTTGGCTTCCCACAGTGCAGACACTGATGTGTTTCAGTTTAAGGCACGGCTGTATGGCATACTTTAAGCTGACCTGCCTGGTCTAGCATAGACCAGGCTTAGCAGTTTATATCATATGAGGGTCTACTCCATAATTTTTAGAAGCCTTCAGCATTCACCTGGTTCACAATGCTGGAAAGGCCAAGTATCTTAATATAATTAGTCTCCCAAGTGTTCAACTCTTCACCATCACCCCCCAAGTTCCTATCTCATGCTAAACAGGGAAAATAGACAATGTGTCCAGAATAATTGTGAGTTTAGCGGAGGCAGTAATGGGATTATAATAATGGATGGAACATTGTTCACTGCAAAACAAAAGGACACTGCCTCCAATGCACTCCAGCAGGTTAAAGAAAAACAGAGATATCATGTTTCTCCAGAGGATAAAGCTTGTGTTATTACAGAGCCCTCAACACAAAGCAGTTCAATACACAACAACATGTGGCAATAAGAAGGTGCAGTAAACACCAGATTAGTATTTCAACTAGCACCCTGTGGGTTCTGCTTTGGCAGCTTTGTCTGGACTAGCCCTTCTTTGAATTAATGTTTTCCTCTTTGGTACACTAAGTGTGATTTTCTCATTTTAATGTGTATACTATAAGAGCATTAGTCCCTTTCTCTCCTGTGGTTCAGAGGCTCCAACAGTTCATCAATTTTTAGCATTACCTTAGTAAACATGAAAACATAAGCATAGCCCCCAGGAAATATAAAATATTTGGAATCTGAGTATATTTATAATACGGGTTTTATATTTTAAGTGTAGACACTACCCCAAACCTTAAAATAGATAAATTAGATTTTAAAATCAATACATTTTATATTTGTAAAGAAGTTCTTTATACAGTTTCCCATTAGAGTTTTTTAGATTTCTATAGTTAACTTAGTAACAGGCAAACCCACTTAACTGAATACTTATATGAGGCCCTACAGCTGAAGAGAGTCTGCACAAGGCTTTCCTCCCTCACCACTCCTAATTGAACAGATGGTCAGAAAGGGCCAACCAATGCCATATTAATCACCACGAGGACTGATTGGGCCTCACTTCTCTCTCAAGCAGAATTTGCCTACAACGATGCAGACTATGTTTCTGCAGGTCAAATCCCCTTTTCTCCCAATCAAAGGTGCCACCCCAATTCCACATACAATTACCTGTGCCTTTGCCCAACCACTGCATACTTGGTGACAGTATTCTTTGATTACTTCCGGTATCCTGAAATAGCGCTGCACTATAGATGTAGCCTCAGTATAAGATGACTGACAACAGGTGGATGCAGGAGATGGAGGGGAGAACAAGAAAACAATTAGTACAGTATTGTAAAGGAGTCTTGTGCAGAGTTAAAACTATGAGGTAGAGATAGAAAAAATAGCATGTTGTCATTAAAATATTTAACATTTTTGTTCTGTAAGTTTTGAAAATAAATGTTCACTGTTTGGATTTTTATGCAACATTTATTGAAAAGTCTAATAATTTGAAACACCAAAATGTTTTCCATGATCTTTTATCTTTCTCCATTCCCTCCTTCCATTTTGTTTTACATTTCATCACTGAAATAAGTGTATGGTGAGGTAAGAGGAAGGGAGTTATAAGGTTGGGGGATGAAAAAAATGGATAAAAGAAAACCAAAAGATGAAAAATTTTACTTCACTTAATTTAAACTTGATCATATGAGGGTTTACAAATTCCAACAAGCTGTACAACTTAAGCTGGAAGGGTTCAAATCACATCTCTGGATGCCAGCTTTCTCTGTCACCTTTTTTAAAGAAGAGTAAACGTATGAATGTCTGGGCATCTCATGGAATGGATGTGACTTTGATTTGGGAAAGCATTTAAACATTGGTTCACATCCATCATTATTCAGGAAAGGAATTAAATATAAGCTAAAGGAAGTTGTCCTGAACTGTGGTCTGAAAAACAACAACAACAACAATTATTTCTTGCCAACATGGACATTTGCATTAGCTCCCCCACGTTGTCAACCAATAACAACACTGTTAAAAGAACATAAATACAGATTATTTGTACAATCCATGTATTAAAAGTCCCTATCTACAGTAGAGTGGAAATCTTGTGAGTTAAGTTGAAACTTCCTGCTGCGGCACCTAAGTTGCAAAGTCTCTGTTGCTAAGATCACTATTGCAGAACATAAAACTTTTTTTTTTTTGGTCTTCTTAACTCCAAATCTGGACCAAAAAAAAAAAATGGAAAGAAAAAATTAAAAACAAGATACTCAGACCTGAAAAATTTGCTGGATACTAACAGAAATGATGTTACCAGATTATTAAAAATCAGACTAGTATCAACCCTCTAGGCTTTGCTTCCAACGGCGAGCCAGACATTTATTCATCTTTAATAGCCAGGAACTTTGAAATCAAACCTTGACATTCTGAAGACCAATTAGTGTACTTAGTCCTAATAAATCTGGTTTAACTATGTCAAATATTAGCTATCATGTTATCCAGGTTAAGCACTGGAACTACACCCAACTGTAAGCCATCTAAACTAGAAAATTTTGATGCAAAATGCGTGGATTTTAAAATTAATCTGTCTGTATTATTAACTTCCAAGTGGTGGAAATATTACATCTAACTTTCAAGCAGAAGTATAAACTAGGAGATATGGGATGAAAAGAGGAAGTGACAGACTTAGGCTAAATAGCAGGGGGGAAACAGACTGCATAACAAACAGAACTTCAAGACAGTGGAATGGTTTCAAACAAAGTCATGGAAATCCAATTCCCAGCACCATGTTCATGGAGATTATTTTTTAAGGAGGGCTCTGAGGACCACAGAAGGGAATAGTCAGTTTTGTGTATTCTGAAATTCCGAGGCATGTTGATAGTTCAGTTCTTGTTATGGTATGTGACTGTTCAGCTCCAGTGGGGTGCCAGTATTCAAAAAGCAGCTGTTGTGTGAGACTAAGACATCCAGCAGAGTTGGCCAGAAAATGATAAGTATTTTCTGTAAAAAAAAAAAAAAAATAGGGGGAAATGGTCTCACTTTACATTCTTGGGTTTCGATGAAAATAATCATATTATTTTTAAAAAGTCCATTTAGTTGGGAAAAAAGTGGTCAAATGAAATTTTTCTACCAGCCATACCGGGTTTGTGTGGTGACTACCAGGTGCCAAAAACACTGAAGACAGATGCTTGAAAACATTCAGGATATAGGAAATTGAACAGGTGGTTGGATTGACACAGAGAAACCTTTTTGTAATTCATTCCACCTCTCAGGCTAGACTGGGAAAACTACTGAAGAAATCAGAATGTGTCTGAAGACAAAGAACTACTGCAGTCCCAAAGAGGATTTGGAGGTAGTGGAGGGAAAATCATTTCATGAATTTAGTTGTTGTGAAAGGTGTTGACTTGCAAATACTGAGGTCCAAAATTCAAGGGATATTGGTCTGGGAACATGAACTACCAAGGTCTTATGTTTGCTCACAAACATTGTGTGATATATATAGGATTGTTAAAAGTACATAAATATAAATCTATATAACAAAAAGCACATTATTGTGGTGTGGGGAAACAGACATTACTCTCTGAGGGTATGTCTACACTACCCCGCTAGTTCAAACTAGCGGGGTAATGTAGGCATACCACACTTGCAAATGAAGCCCGGGATTTGAATTTCCCGGGCTTCATTTGCATAAGCGGGGCTCCGCCATTTTTAAATCCCCGCTCGTTCGAACCCTGTGCCACGCGGCTACACGCGGCACAAACTAGGTAGTTCGAACTAGGCTTCCTAGTTCGAACTACCGTTACTCCTCGGGGGGACATGGGTGTGGTCTTGGGGCAGCTCCCAGTCCCGGGGAGAGCCAGACATCCTGACCATGGCCTCTGTACAAGCACAGCGGCTGTGACGGTGCAGGACATGGTCACCCTCACATTGCGGGATGGGGGAGGGGGATGGGCATCATCCTCTGCGTCCCCAGGGAGAACTGACCACTTCTCTTCTTTCTCTACAGCTGCACCAGCTGCTCGTGCAGGGCGCACCACCCCGCCCGGGACATGCTCCGGCACCCGCGGCCTTCTCTGGACCGCCAGCACGGAGCAGGAGTATTGGGACCAGCACCTGGGGTCCTTGAGAGCCGTGCACCGCACACTGCAGGCCTGGATGCGGGAAGACCTGCAGTTCCGCCACGAGCTGCTGGCTGAGGTCCGAGGGGCGCGCCACA